TCTTTTGCTCATCTTAGTTACCTTTTACTGGCAAAAGGAGAATCCTTAGCTGCAACACAGCAGCTCTTGTAGCAGGCTTTCATCTGTAGAACAGCAGAAAAGTTCAGTGCCCTGTACCCAGGCGACCTGAAATTGGAAAAGGAAAGAAGTGAAGTTTCTGTCTACTAAGAAATATGTATTTTTACTATTCTATGAACATCTTAAAAACAAACATACAGGCCTATTTCTGTACTTACCCAGAACAAGGGGTTCAGCCCTAAGGCATTGCATTCCAAAGGATGTGGCCTGTTGACACAGTGAGGCTTAAACTGAAATGTCTGAATTAAGAGAATAAGTCACTGAATTAAGAAAATAAGTCACTGTGTGTGTCTGCTCTTCATGCAGAGGCCATGATGCCAGTCAGATCACTCTAGCACTGGGTACTGCAGCCTCCTATCCCCGAGCATGTCAGGCTCTTGGTGCAATGCTGTCCAAAGGAGCTCTGAATCCAGCAGATATCACTGTCCTGTTCAAAATGTTTACAAGCATGGACCCACCTCCAGTAGAACTGGTTAGTAGTTACCTGTTTATAACCTCTGATACTTACTTCTATTGCAGTAGCACTCAGAAACGTGATGTCTTGTTGTGCTAAGTGTTGTATGGACACAAAAATTAAATTATCACTCGTCCCTCTATAATTGTAAGTAATGTCTAAATGTGAAACTGCTACTTGTGTTCTGTTTTGTATTACCTTCTTGGTATTTTTGTTGTTTTTTTTAATTATTCCAAGTTGTCCTTTTACATATAGTTAAATTAAAGAAATTTGCAAGAGGAGATAAAGATGGCAAGGAATTAAATCTTTTGATCAAAAACCTACCCACTTCTGCAGTTTCTTATAAGCAGACCTAAATGACACATTTTATATTTCTCACTGCCTCATTCTAACATGAATTCTGGTAACAAATATGATGGCATTTAGATACTTCAGCAATATAGTCTGTAATTCTGTTTTCTTTTTTTTCAACTTTAATTTTTTTCTGTAAAACTTTGGGTCTGTTCAGAAAACTCTCTAACCTACTCTCAAGGGGAAGTGTGTGTTGTCTTTATGTTAGATATATCAGATGTGAAAACTGTATTTTTAATCACCTGTCCTAATTCTCAGGCTCTGACAGACAATTCATTTTCTTCACAGATTCGAGTACCTGCCTTTCTGGACCTCTTCATGCAGTCCTTGTTTAAGCCAGGTGCTAAGATCAACCAGGACCACAAACATAAATATATTCACATACTGGCTTATGCAGCCAGTGTGGTAGAGATGTGGAAAAAGGTAATGCTCAGCTCTGTGAATAACATTATTTTTACCTACAGCAGCCTGACTGTGCTGCAGGAAACGTGTGGTCATGAAGTTACTTATTTGAATATAAACTGTTTCTGGCTTCAACTGCCATGACTAAAGAATGTAGAACCCGATGATCAAATACTACCATACAAGTATATTCACAACTCTTGCATTCAAGCTTTGCAATAATTTTTCAGAACAAGAGAGTCAGCATCAACAAGGACGAACTCAAGTCCACTTCAAAAGCCATCGAAACTGTTCACAATCTGTGTTGCAATGAGAACAAAGGAGCATCAGAGTTGGTTGCAGAGCTGAGCACCCTCTATCAGTGCATCAGGTGAGCAGAGAGGCTGGTCCCAAGCTTCAGTTGTTGGAAGAAAAGTATTATTTAGGAGAGGCAGTGCTGCTAAAGGGAGATGTCTTTATGGGCTACTCTGTGAGGGCATCCTCGCTGTAGAATATGTGAAGATGGGGTCTGAAGGCAGCTTTCAGAATGGTCCATCTGACTCTTTGGAATCTCTCATGAAGACATAAATCCTGCCTTTCACACACAACTTGTCATCTTTGGGTCGTAGAACATGCTTTTCTGTGCCACTGGGAAAAGGTGACAGATTACTTTGTCTTCCTAGTAAAGCTTTCATTTATTTTTCATGCTCCTGTGCTGAAGTGATCTCTCTTTCTGTAGGTTCCCAGTGGTGGCTATGGGTGTGCTGAAGTGGGTGGATTGGACAGTGTCAGAACCACGATACTTCCAGCTGCAGACTGATCACACTCCAGTTCACCTGGCACTATTAGATGAGGTAAGAGTGTATCGAAAGCTTTGCTGGAGAGCAAGAACAATTTTGATGCTTGTAACAACCAGTCCATTGAATGCCTGTTGTTTGCAGTAAGTCACTAAATACAGAGATGAATCTATTCAGAGTTAATTATTTGTTTTTTTCATCCCAGCATTATTTGCACTAGGAAAACTTGGGCATCAAAGAAAGAAATGGTAGAATAGTTCTCTAAATGAATTTCCATTTGGCACTGAACATCAATGTAAACTTGTCTAATAAAGACTGCTGCATTGGTTTTTAAATTGCAGTTCTGAGCATCTGACTTTGCTGCCTTGTTTGCAGATCAGTACATGCCATCAGCTGCTTCATCCCCAAGTCCTACAACTTCTTGTCAAGCTCTTTGAAACAGAACATTCCCAGCTGGATGTGATGGAGCAGGTGACTCTCAAAAGATGCAGTATTTGTGTTCCTTCATATTAGTTACACTTATTGAAGTTAATGGGTTTTGCTGTCAGAGCAGTTTGGAGAGCTTAGTTTAGGACTGTGATCATGGTTAAAATGTAACATATCAGATATTGAAGCAATAAAAATCAAAGGCTTCTGAGAGGAAGTTCTGATCTGATGGTTCTTCCCTCCCTGCACCCCCAGCTGGAATTGAAGAAGACTCTCTTGGACAGGATGGTGCACTTGCTGAGCCGAGGGTACGTCCTGCCTGTTGTCAGCTACATCCGCAAATGCCTGGAGAAGCTGGACACGGACATCTCGCTCATCAGATACTTTGTGACAGAGGTCAGCAGCCAAAACTGCACTTACTGACATCTGGAGAGAAAGTTTAATATTGGTTGTATGTGTTTGGATATTAAATCAGCTTGCCTTGGATTCAGAAATGTTTCAAGTTCTGAGATCAAATTCTGAGCAATGTGTGTGTATCAGTATTCACAAGGATGTGATATAGTCCTACTATTCCTGACTTCTGGAATTAATAAGGTACTGGACAGAGTACTTCAAGAATACATAGCTAATTATTTGTATGGAGAACAAGAGGTCCTAAGTACAACTACCTGTATGCTTTCAAGACTAGTATGTGAATTAAATATTGTCCCTGCTACCCCTGTAAGGGGAAGAGTAATCTGGTTTTGTCTGCTGTTTCAGGTGCTTGATGTGATTGCTCCTCCATATACCTCAGACTTTGTACAGCTTTTTCTTCCAATCTTGGAGAACGAAAGTATTGCAGGTACTATAAAAACAGAAGGTGAACATGATCCTGTCACCGAGTTCATAGGTAAGTCCATTTATTCCTTGCACACCTGCTTCCATTTGTGTATGTTACAACTGCAAATAATGTTCAGGTGGAGGATTGCTTAAAATTACTGCCAGATATTTTGACAGACAACTTCCCTTTTAGGGGCCTATGTTTAGCAGTTTTCCTGAAATCAAGAATCTGGGGGTAGTAGTGAGGAACTGGAGATAAATACTGGTTTTTGAGAACTAGCATTGCAGTAAGGAAAGGAGAGGAAGGGAAGTAGTCTGTCATAATACTCTCCTATCCTAAAACATTTTCCAGACCCTAAAATCCTAATTATTTACATAATGCAGAAATCTACATGGAAGTAGATAAATTACTGACTCAGAGTAATGTACTGAACACTGTCTTCTTTTTTTTTTTCTTTTTAAGCTCATTGCAAATCTAACTTTATTATGATGAACTAAGCAGTGGAAAGTATCAAGACTGCAGAGCACATGATCACTACTTTGCCATGCTCTCCACCAGTAGGGTTCTATAACTGGGCAATGCAGCAGCAGAAAGAAAACAACAACAAAGCCAACAAAACTAACAAACATAAAACAAGGAGGAAAGGGCCGAAGGGCATTTGATTGACTTGTGTGGTGACCTTGAAGTTCCTGCCAGAGGACTGTTTGTATTTCCTATCAGAGAACTGTTAATGTAATTTAGCAAATGGAGTAATACTGAAGGATTTTCTGTTGTTCCACAAATCAGTATAAATCTGAATGTTCTGAAGGGGAGAGCAAGAGAGAAACAGATTTGTTTAAAAGAACGTTATTTTTGTTACTTAGTGAATTTGGCAGTCGTTCTTTGTGTAATGCCCAGAACCTGAACAGTGGGGAAGGTAGTTCCTACTAAAAACACTTTGCAGATAATTCTCTGAATACATCTTGAATACTTTAGGCTTTGATATTGCAAGTTGTAAAAAAAGGGATTTGTGTGATTAGCTCTGTGCAGCAGAGAAGCCCCAATGCCTCTTTCTCCCCTTTGCGTTCTATTAGAATTCTAAATATCCTACATATTTACTGCTATGAAAAAACCCATTTTGTGCAACACAAGTGGAGTTGTAACAATCAAGGATAGTTTTCTAGTGGGATGTGAACTCTATGTGTGTGTTACCTTTCAGAATCTATTTTTTGGTAAATAGATGCATCAGATGTTACTGGTAAGTTTAATTACCGTGTCAGAATTCCACTGCTGTCCAAGAAGATGAATGTGTGCAGAAGTTTCATTACTGCTTCTTGTGGCTTTGTTTTTATAATTATCTCTGCTCTGTCCTGGTGATGCCAAACAGTGGGGGATACAGCCGAGAATATGAATTACCTTTAAATAAAGGTGTTTTTTCTTTTCCAGAGATATCTTTCAAAGTTTCATTATTCATTTATGGAATTCTGAGCTACCCTGATAATTCTTGAGACAGCAGCCAGTGGTTTAATTTCTGAACTCTGCTGCTGTACAGACTGTTGTCAATCAGGCCTTTCACAAGTAAAAATCCAGTAAAAGCAGCACCATCCTGGATAAGCTTTGGGCAGCTGGTCTAGACCTAAGACAGCTTAAGTAGAACAGGGGGAGACAACCAAGCACAGGAATTAATAAGCTCTTATAATAAATATCCAGTCAGTTATGAGAAAAAGTGTTTATTAAATGCAATTAACAATGCCAGTTAGTAACATTTGATATGGCACTGATTTGTCACTTAAAAGACTAAGGAAGGGAATTTGCCTCATTTCTTCAAATTAGTGAGGAGTTCTGAGTTATGGCAATTTATCCTTTGCCTCTAGGAGAAAAATGGCAGAGTCAATCACAGATTAAAGCAAGGAATTTGAGCAAAGACTAATTAAGAAATGTTTAGACCATCTTTTGATCAAAGTAATTCCCATTATATCATTTTGATGGATAAAAGCAACTACATGCATTTCCACCACCTCGTTTCACCAGGAGGCCAAGGAAAAAGGGGATTTAGTTTTTTAATTTATCATGTCCAGAATTAGTTTTGTTTTTTGCATCATCACAGTACTGTCAGAGAATTTAAAATAAGCTCTAGACCCAAATATTGAGTATACTTTTTCCTTTCCAGTATGCCTACATAATTTGTATTTAAAAAAAATAGATATTTACACATACAGGTTCTGTGATTAAGTCAGAATGATTTCAATACTGTGCATCAAGACAGACAACTCTTTCATGGGCAAATTAATTGTAAATAACTATCTCAAGGCAGCTCTGTATTTTTTGAAGCACTCGTGTGGTGCTATCTGGGCTAATTTTGCAGAACTGCCTGATGGTGTGGAACTGTGAGAGAGTCTTAGACAAAAAAAGGCTGTGCTGGGAAGCTTCCAAACAAAGTAATTCCTAAACAAATATGTACAGCGTAGAATCAAGGAAGTATAGGATCTCCATATGTACAGTCCTCTTCAATAGCAAGATTGTAGTCTGATCCTCTCCCACCTTTGTAGGCACTTGTCACAATTCTCAGCCACCCTCTTTCGCCCTGTAAAGGATTGAATTTGCATTGTAAATTAGAAAACATAACTACAGAAAATGTAGATTGTTGAGTCTGTTCTGTCTTCCAAATATGAATTATTTATGAGTGAATGTAGGCATTCACTCAAGAGGAAGTGTAACACCACATTCATGGGGCAGCCTGCCTTGGTGGATTTATATCCCACTCATCCATTCCAGGTGTGGGACTTGATTCTTGCCTACAACTAAAGTAATTTTACATTTGCCCACAACAGGAGCTGCACAGAAGGGCAGAATTTGGGATTGAGTTGACATCAAGTAGCTTTGGATGAATATCCTTGTCTCCAGTTTAGTTAAGTTTCATTTTTAAACTGTTAGTCTGGTTCAGTTTTGTATCCACAGGCCAGCTCTGCAGCTTCTACTCCAGAAGTGAAAAGCCCCACCTCCCCTCCAGAGTGATCCTGCAGCTGTGTTTGTTCCCCTGCTTCCTTACCCAGGGTTCACCCCACGAGTTCCGGACAATCCAATACTCTGTCCCATTTTCCACGCCCCAGCCGGCCACGGACACGATGTGATTCACTGCGGGAGAGGGGTTGTACTCTGTGTAGAGGCCTCCTGTGTAGGCATCCAGCTTCTCAGTAGCCATGATACCACAGCTGTAATAAAGCAGAGAAAGGAGTTTTTATACCAGGGGATCGGGGCAGGGGCCTGGCTACAAAACAGTTTTGAATTCTGAGCTCAGTTGATGTACAAACAAGCTGAAGTCTGCAAAGCAGTGCAGAGCTGCTCACATATGCTAGAGTGGAAAACTACACTGCAGTCACTACACTGAGCTTCAGGTATTTTTACCCCAATATTTCTTGTAGATAAACATGTTTCTTTTTTACCTAATTGGCCCATTAGTGTAGATTTCTGCCATCATTTTTTCTCGTCCACTGACAGACCCATAGTCAGCAACTTTCCAGAGAGTGTAGTTCTTGATCACGTGACATTCTCCAAAAGTGACACAAGTCCCACACTGGTTGAACTTCTTACACTCTGTAAAACAGAATTGAGATTATCACTGCAGGAGGGTGCTTTCCTTCAAGTGAATTAATGATAGGACAGTAAGTTTTTTTTTAACTTATGTAAGGCAAATATTAATAATATGTCTTCTCTCTGGTGAACTAAATACCTTTCTGAAAACCACAATTTAAGTCCCTACTATCTCTAGTTACTATTTTTCAGTCCATACACACAAATGCTTTGATGAGGACATGCCTCTCCATAGATAGAGAAATCATTCCAGTCATACATGACCAGACAAAGGTTAAATTTCTCCTTTGTTTAGTTTAAGGTGACACTTGTAAATATTTCAGTACATTAGATATTGTGTGTCACAGATTTAAGAGATTAAATTAAAACAATTTAGCTGTCCAAACTTGCCTGGGCATGTTTTAGTGCTACACTGTCTGTCTGGAGTAAGGAGAGACACACACAGGCCTGTAAAGAAAACCTGTTCTGTCAGTCAAACAGCAGCAACCAGTATTCTGGAAACCCAATAAACTCTTTTTTTTTTTTAATATACTAAGATCTGTTAAACCTGGAGAGGTGTCCTACAGCAAAGCAAAGGCACCATACTTTGGTCCTTGGCTTGGTAGTTGTTGCAGGTCTCGTCGGGAATGCCGTGGTCGTGGGCGTACACCCAGACCCCGGAGTGGTCTCCCCCTTCACAGGACCCGGCGTCAGCACAGTCGATGACGTTCTGAACAGACAGGTAGGCAGAGGGCCATGTTCCTTTCCTCTTTATGTTGATTCTGTCTGTAAAGAGAAGAAATTGGGGTTTGTGAGTGGAATATGTGGGTGGCTACACTTCGCAAGTAGTGTTCAAACTGTCTCCTTTTCTTTGAACTTGTAGCTGTTTGCAGACAACAGCACTTGTGGTTGCAAAACCCTCCACTATCAGCACTGAGGCACAGCATGACCTAATTCAAACCAGAGGCTGAGTTATAAGTGGGGGTTTCCATTAGAAGGGGTTTTTTTTTCCGCTAAAAACTCAGCAAAAATATGCAGATGAGTAAGATCTGCCTAAAGCCTTGAAGAGCCCTAGATCTCTTTTACTTCAAGCTTCTGAAAACTTCAGATCTGTTTCGTGGCTTTGACAGCAAAGAGTTTTCAAATACACATCATAAAACCAGCTCTCACCAGCATCTCTCACAGAGTAGAGATTTATGCATAAGCCCACACAAGTCACTGGCTCTGAGACAATTCTGAAAGCTTTTCCTTGCTTTAAGACTAACTCCTTGCTGTTACACCAACATCTCACTGTCATCCTGCCATCTCAGACAGGCATTGCCACCCTGCTGCCTTATTTTGTCAGAAATCAGCTTACTTGGCAGAAAAGCTTCCTGATGGGTATTTATAAACTGCTTCTCACCTTGCATTAACAGTCTTAACTGTGCCACCCTGGTACTTGTAATCCTATTAGTACTAACAACATTCAAATATACTTGACAGAACTGGGAACTACTATGCCAGACTAGTCTTAATGAAGAAAAAAAAAAAAGGAATGAATGCTTTAAACTACTCACAACAATTAAGAAAAAAAATAGCCTGATTTTTAAAACTACACGTTGGCATACCTACATATTAAGTTTTAACCAAAGTTATATAATTAACAAGTTGCTGTATTTTACCTATGCTAGTACTTCACTACATTCTGACAGGTATCACACAAGTGAATTCTTGTACCTCTTAAGAATGTATCCCTCATGATTCCTGCTGTCTGCTCACACTTGCATTGTCTTCCCCTTTCTGCACAGTTTCCTCTATTTGTCCTTCACAGTCCATCTTCTTACAGCCTCCCTATGCAAACAGGATTTCTGCAGCATGTAAATCATGTGTTCTCTCTAGAGAATTTACTTCACTTGTAGCAAACCACTACTTCCCTTTTCCTAAGCAGAAGTTTGATACGAAGATTGCTGCTGAAACCAGATTGTCTCTGTGCTGTGATAGTTTGTTTGAATAATCGGGCTCCTGAAGCAAATACTCCTCGGGCCCTCCCCACAAGAGGCAACTTCTTTCGTTTCCTCATTCCCAGGCACGGCTGGAGCACTTCTTGTTCTGCAGCTGCAGCACAGGCTGAGGTACCACAAAAGGGAGGGAGACACAAGAACTGCTTGTGCATCTGCTGCTGCCATGGAGGAGAGGGCAGAACCCCCAGTTCTTACCCGCAGGAGCTGTGAACACATTCCTTCTGCAAACAGGTTTCTAACCATGCCAGTGCTCCCCCTAGCACCTCCTTGCCTTCAGCCTGGGCATTCCTACTGTTCCCGGTGTATTCACAGACATCTCGGCCCCGTTTTTGCTGCAGTGATTTAGCACCTCGTCCTTACACCAGCTGCCAGTAAGGTGAAGATAAGCTGCCCTGGCCTCCGAAAACCAGGGATTCCGGGGCGCGGGCAGCCCG